CTAAATAGAACAGTGTTGGTCTTTTCAATTCAATTTAGTTCAGTTTTTCCTTAAAAATTTAAAAAATATCCACTGGATTTGGTTTTCTTTCCTTGAAAACCAAGTCCAGTGGATATTTTTTGAATTTTTACGGAAAAACTGAACTAAATTGAATTGAAAAGACCAACACTGTTCTATTTAGTGTTTAAGAAATTACTGTTAGTTAATAAGCAGCACGGTGCGGGTCCGTTGAGCATCTCTCTGAAACGAGTTTTTTGAAACTTTTGAAACACTTTGTGATGACCGTCTTCATCACCATAATAAAAATATATATGTTTAAAATATAAATACTTGTGTTTCATTTGCAAAATTTAGAGTCCTGTTTGTCGAACATCCGAGAGACAATAACGAGAAACTGCTTATATCCAGAAAAGATCGAACGGCTGGGCGGGGCCGCAGAGGGAGTCAGAGGAAGGTGGGATTTCCCAGCTGCAGTGAACGCAGCACCAGCAGTGTAGTCTGAGCCAGTTGCAGCAGAACTTCAAACCAAGTCGCGGCCGTTCCGAGGAAGCAGCTCATTCAGTGCGGTCACACTTCAACCAGAACCGAACCGGAAACCTCAGCGGGCCAACATGCCGGCCACAGAGAAGGACCTGGCGGAAGACGCCCCGTGGAAGAAGATCCAGCAGAACACCTTCACCCGCTGGATCAACGAGCACCTGAAGTGCGTCAACAAGCGGATCGGGGACCTGCAGTTGGACCTGGGAGACGGCCTGCGGCTCATCGCCCTGCTGGAGGTCCTGAGTCAGAAGAAAATGTACAGAAAGTACCACTCCAGGCCCAACTTCAGGCAGATGAAGCTGGAGAACGTCTCGGTGGCGCTGGAGTTCCTGGAGAAGGAGAACATCAAGCTGGTCTCCATCGGTGAGTGACCGGGAGAGGAGCGGCCTGGGCGGCCAGGCAGCTCACCGAGCCGCGGTGGTCGGAACAGCAGAGAGATGAATTTATTCTTTCCTCTAACTTTACTTTGATTGAATAAATGAGTAAAAGCTGAAACCACGTTTGCTTTAGTTTCTCCTCTAAAGTCACAAAACATGGATTTACGGTTTTCTTCTGGACAGAATCTCTCCAGTTTTCATTACTTGTGGAATGAGGGTCCCTGACCTGAAGGTCAGAGGTCAGACCTGAAGAGCAGGACTGGAAGTGAGCGGTTCTGGTTCTGGTTCTGGTTCTGCTGTGGTTAATGAGCAGCACATGGCCACACCTGTGTTGACTTACTGAGGCAGGTTTATGCTCAGTTCAGGAGAGTCAGGAAATATGACTCTTCATATAGAGGTAATAAATTTAAAGAGAAGAACAGTTCTCATTTTGAAATGAGGATGGTGTTTTCTGTTGGGAGGGGCCGCTTGGGGTCAATTCTATTCAGTTTATTTCTATAGCTCCAATTAACAACATGTCATCTCAGGTCACTTTCCAGTTCACCAGATCATCCAGTCAGATTGATTCAAAGTTTTCTATCTAAGGAAAACCAGCTGATTGCATCTGCTCATTGACTCTTCAGCAATCCCTCACACTAAGCATGCTTGTAGCGACAGTGGAGAGGAAAAACTCCCTTTGAACAGGAAGAAACCTCCAGCAGAACCAGGCTCAGTGTGAGCGGCCATCTGCTGAGGCCCACTGGGGTTCAAGGAGACAGAAGCAGACATAGAAAAAGAAGCATAGATACAAAAGCCAACTGTCAACCAGCTCCACAGGCGGCCCCGTCCAGGAAACACACAGCCAGGCAGACGAGCTCCGAGCCAGCTCCCATGTCAGAGGATGAAGAGAGCACATCCAGTTAGTCACAGTCAGAGAAACAGGACTACACTGGAAAACAGGCCAAGCTCCAACGTCTATAACGACAGCTGGTATTTCTCTCCAGGATGGAGTCACAGCTATGAGAAAAAGCAGAGAGAGCAGAACGTTAGAGATTGAACTAACAGATTCTGCAGAGTGGAAGAATAGAGATAGAATGAAGCAGAATGATGAAAAAGGGGTCCCTATGTCCTCCAGCAGTCTAAGCCTATAGCAGCATAAACAGGTTCTGCTGGGTCATACGTGGCCGTTTGGGGCATTCCCTGAGTGTTTCAGTAGCTGATCCAGCTGATGGTCCTTGAAGGTGTCAGGCAGGACCTTCTGTAGGACCATCGCCTCCAACGTTCCTTCATATTCTCCTTTTGTTTCTGAGGTCTTCCGGTTCCTCAGTCCTCAACCTTTAGAGGACGGTTCTAGTATGACCCAGCTGACCAGAACCAGGCGGTTTGATAAACTCATGGCTGTTTTTCTTTGTTCTGTTTGTGATGCGTCCCATTTCAGGTCGATGGGTTTGGAAACTGAAATGTGATTTTCAATGAGTTTCTGAAGACGTGGGTCAGAAGGGCCGAAGTCTGGCTGTGGTTCGGTCCTTCTGTTTTCCTCCTTTTCTGACATTATACACAGAGATGCACTGATCAGACGCTGGAACCGGCCTGCAGGTTCTGATCAGAACAGACTTTCCTCTCCCTATTGGGTTCATAATCAAAAACAACTTCTCTGCTTAATTGGTGCAAACGAAGCAAACATTCATAGCAGGTCTGAGCTTCGCCGTTTATCTGGAAAGGCCTCAGATGATCAGATTTGTTCCAGGCTGTCCCGCCAGATGAGGAGCAAACCTCCATCTTCTCTCTATCTGTTCTCCTCTGCGGCTCAATGTGATTTCTCCCAATCACTAACGGTCTGCTCCCTCTGTATGGCCAGGACGAGGAAACGAGCATGAGAACCTGAAGGAGCTGCAAAGGTTTTAACCGGAGACCGCGAAGCAGAAATCAGGCCACAACGTTTTTTTTTTTTTTACAAAGAAAACATATTGGAAATTGCAGAAGTTTAAAGCTACTTTTCAGATTAAAGTTGTCCTGTTTCAGTGTGGGGGGCGGGGCTAAGATGACATGGGGTGTGGATTGATGACTGTAGCTAAGCTACATATTCCCAGATGCTGCGTTTATGGAGCGGGGGAACTATGAATGTTCTGTGTTTGTGATTATTCTTCAAGTCTAATCTGTTGCCGTCAGTCTGGAAAGGTAAAAATGACTGGAAATGAGGAGCAGCATATAAAGATAATCATTTTCTCCATGATTTATGTCATGAAAGCTCACATCAGAGAAACATTTTCATTTTTAGAACCTGCCATAGAACATCAATGAGGCTCTGAAGACTTTTTTATTTCCAAAGGTTCCTAAATTCACTTTGTTTCTGCAGATAACTTTCCAGATCCAGATCAATCAGATCATCCAGTCAGGTGGGTTCAAAGTTCAAAGAGAACCAGACGTATTGATTCTGCAGCAAACCCTCACACCAAGCATGCTTGTAGCGACAGTGGAGAGGAAAAACTCATCAGCAGGGAATATTTTGTCCAGAGACCTCAGCTGTCTGTTATCATTCCACAACCTGTCATCTAAGCCCGCACCGCCGACGCCGCAGTTTGAAAATAAAAGTAGCTTTAAGTTGAGAATGGATGATCTGTGATCCTGGCCAATAACGGATCATTTTTCCCCTATAATTCCTCTGAAGGTTTTTCTATCGTTCATCTTTATGTCACTGAAACTTTAGAAAAATGTCAACACCGGTTATTTTTGTTTTTTTTGTATTTCTCTGTGAAATTGTGAAACAGCAGCCAATCAGGGATTGTTGTAGGTTAAAATGGAATACAGAGACGATGTTAAAAAGGGTAGAGATGAGGAGATAAGGAGTTCTCTCAAGACGTCTTTAGGTTAAAAAAAAAAGCCTTTTTATTTTAGTCCTAGAAGCACTGCTCATCCTCACTCCCCTCCAGCACAGAGCCCGGTCACCGGGCTGTCACCTATTCGATGGTTGCCATGGCGATGCATGTAAACCTCTGGGTTTCCAGTAGTACACATTGTTTTCCTTCTCTTATCGCCTCATGGTTCTGCTTGGCTTGAGCAGATCTTTATCTCTCAGGCCGATACAGCAGCTGGGTGTGAACCGGGCGTCCTTGTTGCTCCTGGTTTCTGCCTGCGGGACTCAGAGGTATCATTATGTCTGAGAGGTTTTCTAAACTTTAGATAAACTTCTCTGAACCAGCCCGGTTCCAGGACTGCAGTCTTTCAGTTTCAGTTTTTTGCCTACCTCCGATTGACATTTGAATGCAGCATTATTGAAAATGATCGATCAGATAAACCGATGATTGGAGGATAGAGTTGAGGTAAAAGGTGCCATTTGCAGAAACGACCACCCAGCACGATAAAACATATGTTCATGTTGCTAATCAGGAAAATGATCTCATCTAGCATGCAGGAAAACACCAATCCACTTTTTTCACTAGTTCTGATATGCAATTATGGAGTTTCTGAATAAGTTTTAGTAAACAATTTGTTCTCGTTATCAGTCAGAGTAAAATGGAAAAGAAATTCTTATTTCTTTTTTGTTGTTTTTTGAAACGATTGTTAGTGTGATGAAGCAATCTGTCCAGCTGGTTGCAGGAGAAACGAGCGTCTGTTGATTCATTGTTTGTTTGGGAATGCAGTTTGGACGGAGGAAACAAGATTTATAGAAGTTCTTGTTGCAGAGTCTTTCAGTCTAACGTTGGATCACTTACATGATAGTTTTCCAGTGGGGCAATACCAAACAGTGTGGAGTTACAAACTCCATAAACTGTCTTCCTGTCTTCTGGGAACTGATGCATTAATATGTAGGATCTGCTCTGCATGTTTGTCCATAAGTCACGGCTGACAGAAGTGTTTGTGTTGGCCGTTTTCTCACACTCTGAACGCTCGCAGCTCTTCTCCCTCCTGCAGCAACATGTTCTTCTCCGGCCCGCTTTGTTCCACTCCACCCAGGCCGTCTCCTTTCTTTCTAAACGTACGTTTGGCAAGTAGAATGATAGAGGTAGGTGGCCCAGATCCTGACCTGTTGAGACCTCCATGCTCCTCCTTCATCAGATTGATGATCGCTACCACTGGATGGAAAGGTTTGGGTCAGTTCTGCAGTCTGTTTGGAGGCTTTCATGCCCACCATGACAGCTGCTTTTTGGACAAAATAAGTGAATAAAGAGGTAATTTTAAGGGAAAACATTGAACGGCTCTCGGGTTGTTGCTCTCACTGAAGGAAACTTTGTTCTGGGATGCAACTAAAGCCACAAAGCTCTGACAAAAGTCGCCCATCCTCTCTGGGTTCTGTTGGGTTCGGTTACCGCTTCACTTCAGGCTCCAGACTCCCGTCTTAGTTACTTCATTTCCTCCTATAGATTTTGTTCTTTCAAATGCATTTAAAGGTAATTATATTCCAGTGTGAGAATTGAAGACGCTCTTAATTTCATTCCACTTATTTTGGCTCAGTTTGACAGCTGTAGTAAACTGTGATTGTCGGATCAGGGGAAATCCTGCTTACATGCAGACTGGTGGCATTCCTGTAGTCCTGAGGAGAAAGCTGGAGGACATTCCTCGCTCAGAGATTTAGATTGTTTGCCAAAAGCCTCACTGGGGTGAGACTGGGCAGCAAAAAAAGAGCATTTGAAAAAGTTCCTGGTTGCAATGTGTTGGAACGGGTCGAGGAAACCGGGCGACGGCTCTTTTCATGTTGTTTAAGGTATAAACAAGTAGAAAAACTGTCCCTTTGTCTTTTGTCGCCAGGACTCACACCAGCAGACCATGGTGTGTTTGAGAGAAGGATAACTGTTTCTGCTGGAAAGGTAACCTGAGAAAAGGCAGAATATAGACTTACAATCATGCACCAGCTCTCAGCACAGAAAGTGTCTTTGTTCCAAGTGAAAATGCAGGAGCTTTATAACGACCAAATGTCACCTGATGCATCCTTTTAGCAAACATGAACTCATGTAGTATTGTTCATTAGGAATAAAATAAAATAAAACTAGTTTTTATTCTGAAGGTCGG